CGGCGAGGCCGCTCACATTAAGCGTTTCGGCTTTGCAGCCTGTTTATGCAGCGCTTTATTGACGCATTGCGTGTGAGGGTGGTCGCTTAAAGCGAAACGAGGGTGTTTCGGTTTAGTGGGTAACAGCGTAAACAACCCGGCGCCGGGAGCGCCCGCGTCGGCGCGAGCGACTCCTGCCGGGCCATCGCCTCGTCCCACCTGGCAAAGAGGAGGCCCGAATCGCCGGTGCCACCCCCGCCGCTGGCGTATTTGCCGGCCAGGTCGACGAGGGCGAAGGCGTCGATGTTGAGGGGCAGACCGCCCACGGGCCTCGCCAGGGGGCCGCGGCGGGCCCTGGCGACCCCTCGAGGGGAGAGCTGAGGGAGAGAGTTGTGGACGATCCCGGTGAACTGACGGTCGAGATTTGATGACTTGGAAAAAACTCTACAAAAAGACGACCACGGGTGAAAGAGAGGACTGGCACACTTTGTGGCACGCACACCCGGTCGCGCGCGCCAGCATGAGAGCGGCGCGCGGCCGGCTAGAGGCGGCAGGGGGGCACCGGGGGGCGGGGATGGGGGATGGGCGGGGGAGAAGAGCACCTAGGAGGAGGATGGGGGAGGGAGCCCGCGCGCCAGATGATTTGACGTGGTTTGGGCTGGCCGAGCTCCCGTGTGGCCGCCAGCATCCGTTTGGTTGTGCTGAGTGCGAGAGGGGGGGTGAGAGCACAGAGACATCGGGACGCTGCACCATTGGAGAGGTCTCGATCGATCGGTCGAGGCTGAACTGTGGCACAGCGTGTGTCCTCGCTGGCTGCCGAGGGGTGTGGTGTGAGAGAGAGAGAATGAGGAGGGAGCGGGAGGAGCGAGACGCGTGATGCTGACCAGAGGGGTGGGCGCGGGGTGCGACACTCTGAGGCTCGGGCGTCGAGCTGCGCGGCAGGTGGGAGGAGGGGGAGGAGCGGGGGAGTGATGGGGGAGGTATGGGGGAGGTATGGGGGAGGTACTGGGGAAGTGTGGGCGAGATGTTCCGGAAATGTGCCGGAGATATGGGGAAGGTCTGGGGAAAGGTCGAGCTACTGCGCCTTTGCCGCACGCGTCAATCAGGGAGGTGAACGTGTTCACGCCGGGGTGCAACCCGCGCCGCACCATCTTGTCGTAGAACTGGAAGGCGCGCGGCAGCTGCTGGGACCTGCCGCACGCGTCGTTTTAGGATGTTGTGCGAGACCCTACCAAGGACAGAGTCCCTGACGGCTTCCACCCGTGTGTGAGTGGTCCAGACCTGCGTGATACATAGATGGGGAAGTCGAGCCACAGTTCCGA